TTGGGCCTGTATATTGATGCTCAGGGCTATGTTCCTGCTTTGCTGGAGAATTTGTGTGGTACGTCTTGCTCTGGAACATATTGGCTCTTGGGTGGTGGATTGTTTCAGTGTAGGTATGGAGGCTTTTGGATAATCTCTTATTACTTAATGTTCCCTATAGTCAGGAGTTCTCTGGTGTTCTCAGGTTTTGAGCATAAGCCTCTTGCCTCTGGATTTCAGTCTTATTCTTCCAGTAGCCTCAAGACTTCTCCATCCATACAGCACTGATAATAAAACTTCTAGCTTAATGGTGAAAAGATTCTCCACAGTGAGGGACACCCAGAGAGGTTCACAGAGTTACATGAAGAAGAGGAGAGGGAGGAAGGAGATAGAGGTGAGCAGGAGGAGAAAAAGGGGGATTCAAGAGAAGAGAGACAGATCTAGGTAGTCCTCTGTTCCCTAAGTGTTCTCCGCAGTCCAGAACACCCACAGAGATTCATAGAATTGGATTCAAAAGAGAGGGGAGAGGGAGGAAATAGAGGTGATCTGGGGGAGAAAACGGAGAGTCAAAAGGGGGAGAGAGTAATCAAACCAGTAATGACATTCCTGAGTAAACATGGGTACTGCAGGTTGGATTCTTAAATGTCCAAAACATATCAAATACTGAAAAACGAAGATTACAAATCTAGAGTAGAGGTTAGACTCTTAAAAATACAATATTAAAAAAAACAAAAACACAAAAAATTTAAGAAATATATATGAAGTGTGCTTTAAAAATAGGGTCCCCCCCCTATTTTTTTGCAAGGTTATATTGGGTTATAAAAATGAAAATTAAGGAGTAATAGAGGAGTAATAGAGGACTTTAAAAAAAAGAAAAAAGTTTTTTTTAATAAAAAAATTAATAGTAAAAATATATCTAGGAATTTCTCTGGAGCTGTTGCAGGCAGTGTGGGTTCATTTCAGTTTCAGAGAGCTCCTTGTTCCAGTTTACACTTCTCGATATCTATAGGCCCCTTCCAGTGTAGTCGGTGTTAACTACAGGGATTTTAATCTGTTGCACCTGTCACTTTTAAAGTGGTTCCCTTCGTTTATTTGGCTTCTGCTTGCAGGTCTCTACAGTGTCTAATTTCGGCCCTGACACAAGTGGGCGGAGGTGGTCTCTTGTTTAGGTTCACTTGTTCAGCCATGCTGTGGGGAGGGAGGGGCACTGCAGACAAATGTCACTGGCCTGTGTGGGGAGCAGCAGCAGTGTTCCGGCCACTCTGGGTTTGCCCCCGCTCACGGCGTGTGTGCTTTCCCCGTCTACACTGCTCAGGCTCCAGGCTGCTCTACACGGAGCAGGCCCTGAGTTGCGTGCACTTCCCAGGCCTAAGCTGCTCAGGTTCAGGTTCTCAGGTACTCCACAAAGGTGCAGACTCGGTTGGGCCTGCGTTTTGTGCCTTCCCATCCAAGCAGCTCGGGCAGCCACGAGCTTGACGAGCGCACTCTCAGGTGCAACACGACTTCTCCCCTCCCCGTCCCTGCTTCAGTTTCCGGGCATGCCTGTCGGGTGCGCCTTGTGTCTCTTCTGGGGAGCTAATCTCTGGCTGTGACCCTCCTGGCAGATGTCAGCCATCCAGAATCTCAGGAAGTCTTTGGTTAGAAACTGGAATCCTGTTTGCAGTTTGGTAGGGGATGCCGTCTCTGGGGCCGAGTTTGCCCCTTTCCCCTCCCCCCTGCCTCCTGCCTTCTGCGGGGGATGGGCTGGTCCGCAGTCAGCTAGCTCTTCTCTGAAATTGCTCAGTCCTTCCTTTGTTCTGCAAATGGCTGGCAGTGCCTTTGGTTAGGGCTTTTTGCAGGTTAATTCTCTCTCTCTCTTGCTATCCCACAGTTTAAGTTGCTATCTCACATTAGCTCCCTCCAATTGCCCTCAGGGCATTCAGGCCCAGGTCGTTGCCCTAAGCATTGCTGCCCGCTCCTCTCCATTCCACCCCCACTTGCTGGCGGCGGATGCGGGTGTCTCGGGTACTTTTCTGCTGGGAGTTGCTTTTAGGCATGTAATCTGTGGGTTTTGTTTATTTTTCCTCCCGGTTAGGTTGCCCTCCGAGGTTTGAAAACATCCCCCAGACCCGCCAGTGAGAGGGTTTCCTGGTGTTTGGAAACTTCCTCTATTAGGACTCCCTTCCCGGGACAGATCTCCATCCCCAGCTCTTTTGTCTCTCTTTTTATCTTTTATATTTTGTCCTACCTACTTTCAAAGATGATGGGCTGCTTTTCTGGGTGCCTGATGTCCTCTGCTAGTGATCAGAAGTTGTTTTGTGGAGTTTGCTCAGCATTCAAATGATCTTTCGATGAATTTGTTGGGGAGAAAGTGGCCTCCCCATCCTATTCCTCCACCATCTTCTGTCTTGTTGTTGTTGTTCAGTCGTGTCTTCCTTTTTGCGACCCCATGGACTGCAACACACCAGGCTCCTCTGTCCTCCACTCTCTCCTGGAGTTTGCTCAGATTCATGTCCATTGAGTCAGTGATGCTGTCTAACCATCTCATCCTCTACCACCCTCTTCTCCTTTTGCCTTCCATCTTTCCCAGCATCCAGGTCTTTTCTAATGAGCCAACTCTTCACATCAGGTGGCCGAAGTATTGGAGCTTCAGCATCATTCCTTCCAATGAATATTCAGGGTTGATTCCTTTAGGATTGATTGGTTGATCTCCTTGCAGTTGAGGGACTCTCAAGAGTCTTCTCCAGCATCACAATTTGAAAGTATTAATTCTTCAACTCAGCCTTCTTTATGACCCAATTCTCACATGTGTATAGACTGCTAGAAGAACCATATCTTTGACTATATGGACCTTTGTTGGCAAAGTAATGTCTCTGCTTTTTAATATGCTGTCTAGGTTGGTCATAGATTTCCTTCAAAGGAGCAAGGTTTTTTTTTTAAATTTAATGGCTGCAATCACTGTCTGCAGTGATTTTGGAGCTCAAGAAAATAAAATCTGTGACTGTTTCCACTTTTTCTATTTGCCACAAAGTAATGGGACTGAATGCCATGGTCTTAGTTTTTGAATGTTGAGTTCTAAGCCAGCTCTTTCACTCTCCTCTTTCACCCTCACCAAGAGGCTCTTTAGTTCCTTTCACTTTCTGTCATTAGAATGGTATCATCTGCATATCTGAGGTTATTGATATTTCTCCTGGAAATCTTGATTCCACCTTATGATTCATCCAGTCCGGCATTTTGCATGATGTATTCTGCATATAAGGTGACAATATACAGGCTTGTCATACTCCTTTCCCAATTTTGAGTCAGTTGTTCCATGTCTGGTTTTAACTGTTACTTCTTGACCTGCATGCAGGTTTCTCAGGAGGCAGATAAGGTGGTCTGGTATTCCAATCTCTTTAAGAATTTTCCAATTGGTTGTAATTCACACAGTCAAAAGCTTTAGGGTAGTCAATGAAGCAGAAATAGATGTTTTTCTGAAACTCCCTTGCTTTCTCCATGATCCAACAAATGTTGACAACCATAACAGAGGTAGCAAACAGATATGCCTAAAGGGCCCAGGAGGCCATTTCTCACAGTGAGGTTCATGGGAAACACAGTGGAGGGTTGTTGCAAGCCAGGCAGCCTGGCATACCCATGTCCGGTCCCTGAGAGCTGCAGCAGTGGCCCTACTCCAGCTGATTGGATTTGCAGACAGGGCCTCCAGACTGTCCAACATTCTAGTGTTTCAAAACCTAATATGACTATAACATATATGGACTGTCCCAATGTTTCTGAATGGCCTACACAACAAAAATTTATTTTCTCAGTTCTAGATGATAGAAGTCCAAGATTAAAGTGTTGGTAGGGCTGGTTTCTCCTGAGTCCTCTTTTCTTGGTTTACAGATAACCACCTTCTTGCTGCGTACTCACTTGGCCTTTTCTCTATACACATGCATCCCTGCTGTCTCTACCACTTCTTCTTCTTCCTTTTTCAAAAACTATTTATTTATTTATTTTTGGCTATGCTGGGTCCTCGTCAGTGCATGGGCTTTCTCTAGTTGTAGACAGCACGGGCTTCTCATTGCAGTGGCTTCTCTCATTGTAGAGCATGGGCTCTAGGGCATGTGGGTTCAGTAGTTGCAGCTCTCGGGCTTTGTTGCCCCATGGCATGTGGGATCTTCCTAGAGCAAGAATGGAATATGTGTCCCCTGCATTGCAAGGCAGATTCTCAACCACTGGACCACCAGGGCAACCCTCTACTTCTTCTTATAAGGACATTAATCATGTTGGATTAGGGTCCCACTCAGATGACCTCATTTAACCTTAATTACACTTTAAAGGAATTATCTCCAAATACAATTACATTGGGGGTTGGGGTTCGGTGCTTACACTTTGGAAGAACACTATTCAGTCCATAACAGCAGTCCACTGTGAGTCTCAACAGTGATCTTTAACCTCAGGCATCAGTGGTTGGTTTATCTTGTGTTACTGAAAGTATTGCAATGCCCACTGCTTTTCTGGCCTGAGTTCTAGGTGCAGCAAAACAGAGATGAGTGCCTGCATTATGGACTATCCCTTTTTTTTTTTGAGGAGGACAGTAAATAAACAACATTGTAAGGCACAAGCGAAGCAAGTCTGAGGGCTCTGTGATTCATATGGGCCACTGGTTTGCGATCTCTGATCTATTATAGAGTAGGTGGGCAGGTTTGTAACCTGTAAACTACGGTGCTTTGCTGTGTCAGGGTAAATAGTACTTGGGTGTGGGGGGTGATTCCCTCCTGCCAAAGGTAAGACACAGAAGTGACTCCTTTGGCCCTGACTTGGTGCTTTTGCCCCACAGGTCACTCTCCTTGTAGCTGAACAACGGCCGGAGCCCACAGCGCTGTGCTGACACTACCTGCTCTCTCAGGGCCTGAGGACAGGGAGCCCACCCTACCAACCTTTCGGGGAGCAGGGCAGCAGCGATTGGGGTTTTGAAAGCTTTCATCAGAAAGTTGTGGGCGGAAACTTCCCGGGGGTTTGCTCTGAGCTTCTTGAGGCTTCTCAGGTTCAGATGCAGAGTGAGTGGGTGTCTCTTTGAGAAGCCGAAAGAGAGAAGAAAGAGAGGTGTTTCCCTGGGTTCTGGAAACTCTATAAAGAGAGAACCGGCTTCCTTCTCTTGAGCAGTCAGAAATTGGGCCTCTGCACGACCGAGGAAGAGGAAAACCCTTGGCTGGAGGCTGGCCTGAGGCATTGGATGCCATGCAGCAGCCCTTGAATTATCCATACCCCCCAATCTTCTGGGTGGACAGCAGTGCCCGCTCCCCCTGGGCCGCTCCAGGGTCTGTCTTCCCCTGTCCGTCCTCAGCGCCAGGAAGGCCGGGGCAACGGAGGCCTCCCCCACCGCCACCCCCACCGCTGCCGCCACCCCTGCCTCCGCTACCGCCGCCGCCTCTGAAGAAGAGCAGGGACCACAACACAGGCCTGTGTCTCCTTGTGATGTTCTTCATGGTTCTGGTGGCCCTGGTTGGAATGGGGCTGGGGATATTTCAGCTCTTCCATCTACAGAAGGAGTTGGCCGAACTCAGAGAGGTAAGCTGCCTGGGGGATTGCCAGTGCCCTGAAGGTGCGGGCGTGGGGGATGGGTGAAACTGCCCCGCTGCAGTGCGGGAGGAGGGCGACAGGAATCCACATGGACCACACTTGGCCTGCAGCGTACTTCTCAGTCCTTTCTTCCTGTCTTAGAAATGAATCACGCTAGCCATCCTATTCCACCTGCAGAGAGATGGGGGCTCAAATGGGTGGAAGGAATATTTTCAATCTTGGGAGGGATCAGGATCAAATTAGGACTGGCAGTTAAGAGTTCTTCCTTTCTCAGTTGGCTGATCATCTGAGAAAGGAAGAACTCTACTACCTACCTCATACTTGATTCAAGAAGGAAAACGAACTTGGCATCTGAGAAGTGAATTTGTTCAAATGCACAAACTAAATTTCCTTGAAAGTGCTTAAAAGTATTAGAACTATTTCAAATCACAAAACTGAGGCATGGATAGGTGCAACTGCTTAGCCAGAGTCTGAGTTAGGAGAGGTTCTGGGTGCTTAGATCCCCTTTCCAGTGCTTAGTTTATTTGACAATTCTTCTTCCTTTGCTTAAAGAACTTCATAATTATTATATATCTTTTCTCTTTTGCCAGTCCACCAGTCAAAGGCATACAGCATCATCTTTGGAGAAGCAAATAGGTGAGTTTTTTTATGCCTGCACATTGAGTTTCTAAAAACAGTCCTCAGCAGTGAACCATGGTGGAGGAGTACCTTGAATTCCATCTTATTCTTGGGCATATATAGACTATGGAAGAGAAATCCTAACCATTTCTGAAATCTCTCGTCATTTTGGTTCTTGAAGCTGCCCTAAAATATGAAGTGAGTTTAACTGTTCAAAATTAGTGTAGTTAAGTATCACAAAAAAATTCAAAACTAATTTCTACTTGAATTTGAAAAGAAAAACACATGTGTACAACCCTGGACCTTTGCCCCCCAAGCAGCTGGCTCCAGGCCTGTCCCCTTCCACAGGCCTCCTGATTCCCATGCACAGGGCGGTGGCTATAGCTCCCCAGGAGAGAAGGGGAGGTGCAGGCAGACACAGCTGTTGCTGGGAAAGATCCTTGCTCTCCTATTTAAACTCTATAAGAGATTACTTAAGAGTCAGACCTGATTTAAAATTTTAGTAGGTTATATTTCAGCTTTTAAAGAGTGGGCAACCAGTCATCCACATTAGGGTGATTCTTTTGCAGCCACTGGAAAGCTTGGAGGAAGACGTTAGGCATTTTTCAGAGGGTGGTCCCACTTCACTCAGAGACAATCATGTGCTACTTTTGATAATAAAGGGAAATCCTCTGTGTGAGATCCAGGACAGGAAGATGACAATGTTGAACATCGGCCTCCTAAAGTTTCAGGACATAGTTTCGGAAACTGTGGATTTAGAATACTCATTAAACTAAGATGGAAAGGAGCTTAGAGAACATCCGGTCCGGTCATCTCATCTTTCAGAAGAGAAACAAAACACCAGATGGGTTAGTAATGTGCCCAAGATCTCTGCTATGGAATGGGGCTGAGAAGGAACTCAGGCTCCTGATGCCTTGTCACCTCCAGCTCTTACCAGTATGTGCTCGGCCCTGTGACACAGGGAAACTCCTACTCCTATCTGTCTCTGATGGCCATGGAATGAGAAATAAAGGCTACAGGCAAGATGCCTCTGCAAAGACAATAAGTAAATCTCATCCTTAGAAATTGGGAAGAAGAGAGAAGACAGCACTAGTCATCTAGTCAGGGAAGCCTGCTCCAAATTCTCAGGCTGTGCCTGAGAAACCCAAGTCACCCTATTTCCCTGGAAGGTAGGCTCTTGTAGGAGCTATTGGTAGGGTCCTCTGGTTTCTAGTTCTGGGTATGAACCTGTAAAGAGAAATTCCAGATGTACCCAAGCAGAGTACAAATGTTTGTTAGAAGAATAAAGCTTCTGGAGGATTTCTAAAATGAAATAGCTTTGAAGATCAGTGGAATGTGGCCGGTAAAATGGGCACCAAATTACTCATCTTTCAACACTCTCTAGAGTCCTTTTAGTGATTAAAAATCAAGTTAGCAGATGAGTCAGGTCAACCTTTCCCACTAACAAGTATTAAGTATCTTCTTTAGACCAGACCACATGGGCCAGAAATTGGTGTGTTATCACACAGAAATAAAATTAGCAACTCTACTAATGAGATAAGAGATGCAAATTTTAAAAAGGGGGATACCTAGGTTGACCCATCTAATTAGTGAAGTTTAAAAAAATAAAGCCCAGTTGGCAAAAAATGTGAGTGAAAACAGTCTGCTTCGTGACAATGGGCATGTCAATTGCTATACCTTCTCTAAAGAGCAGTTGGGAAAAATATATCAAAGGATTAATACTGTTAATTTACCTTGTAATCTCATTACCAAAGCTGTCTAAAGAAAATAAAATGTGCCTGAAAATTTATAATAAGGATATTCACCACTTGCTTATAAGACTATTTCTAATAAACCATTTAGGAGAAAGTTAAATGCCACTCAATAGGAAATTAGTTAAACACATTACAGTGTATTCACACAAGAGCATAATATGCAGCAACTAAAACTGTATACTAGAAGGACATTGAATGTCATAGAGATTGTGTAGTCCATATTGTGAGATAAAAAGACAAGTTATAAAGCATTGTGTTTAGTTTAATATTCACTCTTTAAATGCATATACATATTTTCATAGTCTTAGTAAGCATCTAGAAGGACTTATACTCCAACAGGTTAACTGGGAGATACTTACTACTGTAGATTATTTAAACTTTCTTATTTGGTTCTCTGTCATTTTTCCATAGTTAACTCATTGACTCTTTTATTCATTCACAAATGTTCTTGGAGTGCTTCCTGGATGCCAGGCTGGGTGTGGGTTAGTGGGTGATGATAGAACAAGAGAGACAAGGGGCCTGCTCTCATGGAGCTCTTAGCAGGCTAGAGAAGATAAACAAAAGTAAGCAAACAGACAACATACTTTCAAGCTGTGCTAAATGCAACCTAAGATAGAGTGGTCTGGAAAGTCCCCTCTAAAGAGGTGTTGTTAACGTGGGTGTGTGTATGTGTGTAGGTGGAGTGGGAGGCTGGGATAAGCAGTCCAGCACTGAGAATGGCATGTGCAAAGACCCTGGGGCAGGAAACAGTCATCACCAAAAATGTAGGGTATATTTCTACTTTATTTATTCCAGCATTTATCCAGTAGGTATTTTTATTGAGTACCTTCCATGAGACCAACACTGTGAGGGATACAAAGATAGACAGCATGTGGTTCTCTGTTCCATTTCCTGTCAGTTCATGGCTGAATGCCAGATAGCTGCACAGATGGTTTGTGGTATAGGAATGTAGAAGAGACTCAGTTTTGCCTTTCCTGTTCGCTAACACCTCATTTATGGTGTGTGGTCTTGGGCAGCTACAGAGGGAATGACTGCTCACATCATAGTCTCAGTTGATTGGAGCATCCACACACCATGTGGAGTTTTATAGACTAACCATGAGGAGCCTGCTAGGGATGAGCACTCGTCTATGCAACTTTCTTCAAAGTCTAAGTTAGCTGAATTCATTAGCCAAATGGTAGTGCTATTCCACTGAAATATCTCAAGTCAGAGAAATAGTATCTATTTTGAGAACTGTTGTCTATTTTAAATCTTTCAGTTTAATTTAGCAAACATGTACTGATCACATGCCCTGGGTTAGAAACTGAGCTAATTACTCTGGTAGATTAAACATATAGTAAGGAATTTGTCATTTATTTGGAGGAATAAGATGAGTCATACAGTTGCCATTAAAAAAAAAAGGCAAGTCAGAAGCGACATGAGGGTGAAGACGGAGTGCTTCAGGGTTTCAAAGGAAGGAAAAGTCATATTTGATTAGAAAGGCTTGGGCAGGTTTTCCAGGAAAAGAGATATTTTAGATGGTGTTTGTAGTGTCCATAGGAATTTGACATAGAGTTCAGTTTGGGAGGGCATTCCAGGCAGGAAGAACAGTGTGGACAAAAGCACAGAGGCAGGGAGGCTGGGTGTGCTCAGAACTGTTGTTTGGCAATGTCCAGTGTGGGTGAGTAAGCCAGAGAAGGCTGGACAGATGGGCAGAGAGCATGTGGTGGGGAACACCTGTATGCAATTACATGTTTAATGAGGAGTCATTTGAGGTGTTTGAGACCTTAGAGTAATCTGGGGCCAACTGTAGAATGCCACTGGGGAAGACGAGGTGGCCTGGACATTAGCAGTCTTCTTCAACCTTTGTCTTTGTAGTCCCAAAGGCAGCAGAGCCAGGGACGAAAGAGCCCTGGATTTGGACTCAGGAGACCTGAGTGTTGGTCCCATTCTGACACTGAGTTAGCGGGTCTTCTTGGACAAGTCACCCAACTTTCAAGCTCATTTTGCCATCTGTAAGATGGGACAGTAATCTCTACCTCAAAGGATTGTTGGGAGTTATACATGCAATAACTTATATGGCAGGTCTTCATAAACCAATCTTTATATTGTTTTGTAGTATATTATAATTTATGCATGTCTATCTTAATTTGACTCCTTTTTACCTCTCTGTTTCTGAAATATAGGCTACTGTAAGTCCTACAGTTTGGACTTGAATGATTAGTGTATGTTAGACTGTTGCCATTTATGCTTATAAAAAATATCTTTTATTTAAATGCCCTGTTTAGATTCCCACAAAAAAGCATAGTAATTATGTCACTTTTACATGTATCTTTCATCTCTCTATAATACAGGTCATCCCAGTCCACCCTCTGAGAAAAAGGAACTGAAAAAAGCGGCTCATTTAACAGGTCTGTATCTGGAGGGCCATCTTGGGAAAGCCTTTGGCAGAAAGCAGAGTAGCTGGTTGCTTTCCGTGACTGTGCTCTGAGAGAGCTGATACTTTCCAGTGACAGTATTTGAAACCCAAAAGTAGTCACATCTTTCTAGTTACGTCAACACCACACACACACACAGGGTGGCTTTGCTCTGGGCAAGGCCCTGCTCGAAACTGGAGAAATGGAGCTGCTTATGACATGATTCCTGCTCATAAGGAGCTCACTCTCTTCACTCACTCCCAGGACTGTTAGGGAATTTGGGACACAGGTCCAAGAGGTGAGAGCTGGGGAGATGGTGAACAGTGAATTATTTCAATATGTGTTGCCCTGGTTTTCTGGAAGAGTTTTACTCTGCTTTGTCCATGAGCTGAAATAGGAGAAGGGAGGCCGGGTCCTGGCACACATGATTGTGCAGTGGAGTGACATGACTTGATAGCAAGATAGTGAGTGAAGTCCACCAATATCTGCAAGGTGGATGAGTATCACAGAAACGGGCATGCTGCTGTCCCTGAAACTATGTCAGCAGAGGCTATAAAATGATCCAGTTTAGATCAACAGATGTTTCTTGAGCACGTGCTGTGTGCCAAACCTGGGGCACATGGAGGTGGATCACACATGGCTCAAGCCTTCAAGGAGCTTACAATCTAATAGGGAAAGACAGGTAGGAAAGCAATATTTCCAGCATTCTCTGCTTGAAGTAGGTATGTATACCATGCTGTGTGGATACACAGGAAACGGGATTTTTGCCCACACTGAAGACTCTTTCATATAGGTAAAGAGTTGGACTAGATGATTCCTAAGGTCCTTTTCACCTTTAGAACTTCAGACTTCCTTGGATTTGACTTCTCCTCTCATGAAAAGACTCAAACTCTGACAGTTTGGATGCTAGTTCTGAACCTCTATTCATAGAATCTCTGTTTCAGAGAGCTAAAATCATCCTAGTCTTTTCTCACTGTGGTTGGTTAGAGACATATGTTATTGACCCAGTTGTGTGGATGATAAAATTGAGGGAGCCAGTTTGATAAACGTGCTGAAGAAGTTCAGTAACAGGTCAGGTCTGACCCATCACCCAGTTCTATGTCATTTAGGGAAAAAGCACTTGCTCAAGGAATGGTCCACAGTTTTTCCTTGAAAGCTTGGTCTGTGGGATACATGAGCATTCCTGGCTGAAAGCTCCTCTCTGGTTTGATTTCAGGCAAGTCCAACTCAAGATCCATCCCTTTGGAATGGGAAGACACCTATGGGATTGCCCTGGTCTCTGGGGTGAAGTACAAGAAGGGCAGCCTCGTGATCAATGAAACTGGGCTGTATTTTGTGTATTCCAAAGTGTACTTCCGGGGTCAGTCCTGCACCAACCAGCCCCTGAGCCACAAGGTCTACTCCAGGAACTTTAGGTACCCCCAGGACATGGTGCTGATGGAGGGGAAGATGATGAACTACTGCACTACTGGCAAGATGTGGGCCCGCAGCAGCTACCTGGGGGCTGTATTCAATCTCACCAGTGCTGACCATTTATATGTCAATGTATCTGAACTCTCTCTGGTCAGCTTTGAGGAATCTAAGACATTTTTTGGCTTATATAAACTCTAAGAAAAGCACTCTGGGATTCTCTCCATTACGATTCCTTGTTACAGGCCCTGAGAATATTGTCCTGAATGAGAGTTTTCTTAAGTCCACTAGAGGTCATGAGAGAAGACATGAACCAAGAGGATCTTGAGACTACAGAGTCCAGCAGGTCTACAGTTCCTTATCTCACCTAAGGTCCACAAACCAGACAGGAGGACTATGCGTAATGAACATGAAACTCTGGGCTGCCATGTGGAGATGCAAAGGCAGGGAAAAGTGACTACCAGTTGCTTGTGCCAACAGCTACACTCATCTTAAGTGGCCTAGTGCATTTGGACACATTGAAAATGGCACCTTTTAACTCACCTCTTGGGGTGGGTCTACTGTCTACCTCAGGGGAGGCTGTCTTTCATGTATATGGATGTGACGTAAATGTATAAGGGATGGGAAAAGAGGACCAGGCTTGCATGATAAGCTAAAGAGACTGAAAGGCCAGTGTCCCACTGGCAGCATCTTTATTTCTAGATGTACAATCCGAGCCATCAGGTGATGTTAACAGAGAAGCAAAAGAAATCTTTTGGGAACTCAATACACTCCCTATACAGCATGTATATTTCCAGTGCAATTGTAGGGGTGTGTGTGTGTGTGTGTGAGTGTGAGTGTGAGTATGTGACTAGAGGGTAACATAAGTAGAAAGAATGTGGAAATTGGGAAGGGCATGTTAGAATATGGGCTGCATTTGGTGGTAGATTTTGAATGCTTTTTGGTAACTAACTCTAATAGTCTTCAAAGCTCTTTGTCAGTTATTAATGTTGTTTTCCCATAATATAACCATATTTATATGTATTTTGTACATTTTTAATGAAAGAATACCCATAACAAAAACTATATTTTATAATATAGGTAGACATTATGAGTGTTCTGTTTGGAAATCACTAAGGTTTGTGTATTTTCTTTATTATTTCTTTTCTCCATGGCTTCCTCATTCATTATGACTTAAGCCCACTTAAAGAAGAATTTACTAGTGTGAGAAGAGTTATGAGGAAAAGCTTTGCATCTTTGCCAGGTTCTCCTCTCCTCACTATATTCTCTTCCCTTCTTTCTCCTACTACCCAGAGTTTCCATTACCAGTATTATTGCCAGTGTTAAGCTCACCCATTTCCCATAAATTTGATGACAGTTTGTCTTTTCCTGGGGGCAGAGACATGGCACAATGCAAAGGGCATAGACTTTGGGCCTAAAACCCTGAATTTGAATCTTTGTTCCTCTACTTAATAACTATGCAGGTCACTTGACATTTTTTGGACAAAAGGGGGGGTGATACATACATAAAGTATCTGATACATAGTGGAATGTCAAAAATAGTATCTTCCATTATTAATAAGGGGAGGTACTTCATTCTGCAGAAGAAGCTACAAATCTGAGAGATCCATCCAAACACCTGTTTCTTGCCTTCTCACCTTGGTCAGTCACAATGACCTTTTCTTATTTTGTCCAAATGCTCATTACCATGACTTCTCCTTATACTTTGTCACTGTTAAAAATAACACTTATGTTAGAATTTGATTTCAGCACCTTATTTTCACAATACAATCTCCTATAATTCCAACTCAACTGATCCAACATTTTCTCTCCTAAAATATATATTTTTCCATTTTTGACATTCAATTAATAAATAGTATCATTTTCTTGCTTATCTATCATCTCCTTCTTAATCTTCGCTCTTTTCTCTATTCAGTTTAGATTGCATGATCTGTCATTACAATTGGTACCTTGGAAAGATCCTGAACTCCAAAATACTCTGTTACAGTCACTATTTTCTTCTTGTAAAAATCAAAAATCTCATTTTCTTTATTCTGGCATCCTAGCAGTTGGATGTTGCTGGAGAAAAATGACTCAAACTGATTGACTAGTTTCATTTTATTTTTATCTATCATCTACTTAAATCAGCCAATTATTTATCTATCAGTGAATTATTTCTGTCTTTTGATTGATTTGAATAGGTAATACATGCACATAGTACAAATTGTAAAAGTATACGAAGATAGAGGATGAAAGTAAGTCCTCTTCTCATCCTGTCCTGTGGCTCCACCTCTGCCCACAAGGAAGATCACTGTCTCCTTCTGTAGCTTTTGCGAGATGGTCTATACATAAATATGGCATCACTTTTTGTCAGGGTTTCCCAACCTCGGTTCTATTGACATTCTGAGCTGACTAATTTCTTTATTGTGAGGGTTGTCCTGCCTGTGCATTGTAGTATGTTCAGCAGTATCCCTGCCTTCCACCCACTAGATACTAGTAGCATTCCTCTCCCCACCATGTGTGATAACCAAAAATATCACCAAATGAGGCCAAATGTCCCCAGGCTGGGAGTGGGGAGACAAAATCCCTCCTGGTTGAGAACCACTGCTTTTTATTAGTGATCAGATATTTCAAATCAGCATTCAAAGGCCCATCACTTTTTCTTCAGTTTCTTCACGAGCATTTTTTTTTTTTTCACTGTTTGAGACAATTACATCATGTCTTTTCCTCTTGTAAACCAACCACATCACCTCCTCCCACCATGGAATCTCACTTCTACCACTGAAACACAAACCCACCTGCATCTGAATGATCTCTTTCTTCCATCCAGTACAGAGGAGGAAGAGGACCATCTATTTGTGCACTAGACTCATTTCCTCTTCCCTGCTTTACCTGTTTAAAATTTTTCTTCTTTCTTCTGGATCTTCAAACTAGCTGTCTATGAAATAATGCCCACTAGCATGTAATACATATATACTCAAGTATTTCCTTTCACTAAAAGACAAATCAAACCACAAAACAACCCAAACCTTTCTTCAACCTTCCTCTTCCATCAGTAATGGCTTTGTTTCTCATTTTCCTGGTAGAGACAAACATCTGAGAAGGTTTTCTCCATACACATGAGCTCCATTTTTTTTTTAGCCAGGAATCTGGTTAGGTTATTTATTTGACCACTTAAAAAAATCTGTTTTTTTTTTTCCTGTTAGAATAAACGTTCCAAAAGCAAGAGCTTTTCTGTTGTGTTTGCCTTTGTATTCCAGATTATCTAACTCAGTGCCAGCATATATTAGGTGCTCAATAAATATTTGTTGACTAAATAACTTTAATCATAAGGCAAAAGCCTTTCAGTGGATATGTTTTTCAGAGTAGTAAACCTATAGCTGTGTTGCCTCATGGATGTGTGTGCATGTTTATCCATCTTTGACTAGATTATCCAATGGGAGTTTGAGGCTACAGATGAAAAAAAAAATGTGCATCCTAATTCATGGAATTAGAAAACAAGAAAGATCTAATTGGTCCTTGGAATTACCAGGAGCTTTTGGGAGAATGTTGAGAAAAAATTCTAGGTAATTAGAGCTGAAACTGTCATTTAGAAGATACTCAATGAATATTTGTCTTCCCTGGTAGCTCAGACAGTAAGGAATCTGCCTGCAGTGCAGCAGATCTGGGTTTAATCCCTGGGTCGGGAAGATCCCCTGGAAAAGGGAATGGCAACCCACTCCAGTATTCTCACCTAGGAAATTTCATGGACAGAGGAGCCTGGCAGGCTACAGACCATAGGGTCACAAAGGGTTGCACATGACTGAGCAATTAACACTTTCACTTTTTCAATACATATTTGTTGAATAAATTAGTGAACAAAACAAAGGTCCAGATTGGAGTGTGTCACCTGATCTCCTTAAAACTCTTCTGTTGATTAATCTGCTTTATATGGTAAGGTTTCTGACCAGGCACCTTGTGGAGAAAGAGAGGTATTCACCCTCCTTTTGGCTGATTGTCTGTACTCCCAACCCTCACAGTGAAATTTTCCTCATCAGTTTCTTCTTCATATGGCTCCATCCATTGAAGTAAACTGGTTCTAATGGTCACGGGAAATTTGCTGGACCATTTTTGGGGGTCAATGGGCCCTTCTCGATAATGGTGTTAGAGCAAAGAGGAAATAGGAATGGTGCTGGGCATCCAGAGGGGACCTGATGCCATTAGCTAGTTGTGGCACTACTGGTCCGTTTATGCATCTAAGTCTGCTCTGCTAGGACACCTTTGGGATTTTATGAAGACAGGTTTGTAACTTACTATGCTTTAAATGGAGAAGGAAATGGCAACCCACTCCAGTATTCTTCCTGGAGAATCCCATGGACAGAGGAGCCTGGTGGGCTACAGTCCATGGGGTTGCAAAGAGTCGGACACGACTGAGCGACTACACTAACACTAATGCTTTAAATACTCATTTCAGGGAAGAGGTACTAACAGTTTCTTTAGCTATTTTTCTGTAAGCAGGAATACAAGGGATGTCAGAACCCTATAACTTTTTGAATGTGCTCAACAAAAATAGAGTCAGCCATTGTTCCCTTATGAAATGCTAAACCCAAACCAGAACACTTATTTAAAGAAAAAAAAAAGTCACCTCTGGTTCAGTAGTTTGAGGTTTTCTTTCTTTTCAAAGAACTAAAAACATAGAAAACCATATTTTTTTTCTTAGCCCCCCAGAGTGGTGACTTTGTATTCTCTGAAGTAGGTTTTGACTTACCACAGCTTTTCAGAAAAAAAAAGCTTTACTGGGACCATCACTATGAGAATGACTAACTTGAAACAACAAATCATTGGAAGACGTTGAAATGGTTAGAGAAGCTGCTTCCTCAAAGCCAGACTGTCAGACTTCCTTAAGGAGGTTACGCTGTAGACATTTCCTGGTTCTTATCTAAGAAAGACTGCTGTTAGATTATGTTACATTACATTTTTTCAAAGGTGTTTGGTTAAGTTCTGATGTTAGTAAAGACAATTTTTTACTTTCTGTCTGTATGTATGTATTTGTGTGTTTCTTTTCCAGGCTTTTGAATCAGAGGCAGAATGAGGTAATCCTAGGAAAGCTGAATTAAAGCCCATTCCTTAGGGCCTTCAGACTCAAAAAATGGACCTTATTCAGAAATAATATAACTACTGATAGTGGCCAGGAATCTTTGGGATTCATCTAGAAACCACCAGCCTTGGAAATGTAGACAATTAAGTGGGTATTTTCCTCCTTACGGTTCACCCAGAGGGTAGAAAAGCATCACCTCAATGACAACTTTCTTGCCGTTGCTAAAGTTTTCCCTTTGCTGGGAGACATTTCTTCCCTGTTCTACCTGGCACATCTTTAGAGACAAGTGCACTGGGCAGGTCTCCTCTCCCTCGGAGACCCCTTCGACTCTACGGGGTCCTCCTTTCTTCTTTTTCTCAGTAGAAGGACATGAACCTCAATCACATTCTGTTGAAAGTTGTCTTCTGTTCTAAAAGTTGTCTTAAGTTTTCTGAAAATTTCAGGAAAGACCTCCATTCTTTGAACAGTCCACATGATATTAACAGCAGGTTTCCTGGCTCTCATCTGGATTCTGGCAGTGCATATTCTCTGAGGTACTCCTATTGTGGACCATCTGCGTTGCCTTCAAGGTACTCCTACCACAAGTTTCTGGGTGTACACAAATTTTATTGACAGTTTGGGGCTAATGGATAGAGATTACATTACACACACAGTGTAAGTTACACCTAAAACTGAGTGTTAGACATCACCAGTATCCTGCAAATTTGCTGCAGTTATTTCCTTAAATGTGTCACCCCAAATCCTAGTACTTGAAAGGAAGCATAAGTTCATTCATTCAAAAACTGTTTATTAAAAAAAAAACAACAACTGTTTATTGTCTTCCATCTACCAGAAACTATCCAAGATACCATGAGTACTACAAAAAAAAAAAATCTCTTATGGAGTTATGTTCTAATGGAGAGATGGTAGATAGACAACAAAAAAGAAGCCAATATCTAGTTAGTCATGGGCTTCCCAGGTGGCGCAG